ACTAGCACAAAAGCTTAGCATGCGTGGCTAGAGAATTAATAGACAGTCTTTGTTGTAGTTTGCACTGTCTGAGTGTTGACGTTGCACAGCAGCTGCTGATAGTCGGTCAGATGGAGCAGCTTGTCAGATTTTAGGGGTGCCTTGGTTGTTCTATTGGCGGCGGGCCATAGTTCCGGGCTCACTCTTGCCGAGGGTAGTCTCGGGGAAACGGGCTGATCGGGTCGACACATTGTGATCCAAACTCTGTGTTATAACAGAGAACGATATTTACATCACTTAGGAGTGAAAAGGTTTTCGATATTGGAGAAGGGGTATAGTATTCCCAACAATCGATTTGAGACTAGTAAAGAGTCTATTGTCTAACTGCTCAATACATATATGAGAAAAAGTGTTGTTACAGTAGAAAGTAAATCCCGTCCCGTAGACGCACGCTCAGCGATTTTACAACCCCTTAAGCACTGGTAGAAGAGGGCATAGCACCGGACATGGACATGGAACCCGAAGGAGCACCACCACCAGAGCCACCACCCATGGCAGCGCTGTCCGAGTTCTCATGACCACCGTTCTCATCGTAGTAAGCAGCAATGCTGTAGTAGGAGTTGTCGGTGTAGTCGGCAGTGGTGTTGATACCGATTTGGATCCAGGCGAACAAACCGTCCTCGATGCTGTCACCGAGGTACAAGAACTCCGGGAAGGGGTCGTAGGCGCTGGTAGCCTGCTCAACACTCCACATGTCGTCGGCATTGCTGGTGATATCCTGGGTGTTGGTGGTGTAGGGGTAGGTGTTCTCAACAGCGGTACGCAGGACCTCGTTCCAGAAGAGCTGGCCGATGTGGGCGACGCTGCCAGTGCCCACTTGAAGGGTGCCGTTGTTGCGGTTGATGGTGGAGTTGAGGTGAGTCAGGAGATGGGTGTGGATGGCGCGGCCGTCGTAGTGACCGGGGAAGATGGTCTGGAAGGTAACAACACCATCCTCATCGGTCTCTTGAATACCACGGAGGAAGGTCGAGTCCCAGCCGTCGGCGGCGTAGTTGCCACTGGTGGAGATACCACTACATACTTAGCTATGATCGGATGAAAAGATGAAAAAAAGCACCATACCTGTAAACACCGGTAGCGTTGGCGTTCCAGATGTCGACCAGAGCACCCTGCACAGGCAGGCAAGTGTTGACATCGATGTACTGCACTTCGAGGAAGAGATCGACACCATCACAGTACTTATCCTCCTTGACGTTCTGACGGATCACTTCACCCCAGACGTAGTAGGGGCCATCGGTGATGGTAGGAGTAAGGATGGAGCTGGTGTTGGCGCCGAAGATGTCGGCCTCGGAGGTCTGGGGGGAGTAGTCAAGGAGGCCAGTCTTGTTGTGGTTGATGGCTTCCCACTTTTCGAGGGCCGCGAGGTTCCGGCGGAACTTGTGGGGAGCTATTTATGGTTAAACGATGCAATCACGGTTTGCCAGTTCAGGCCTGCTTACCAGCAGTCACGCCCCTCTTGGAGCGCAGCTCGCGGGCGGTGTTGGCACGGCGGGAAACGGAGCGCTGCTGAACCTGTCTAGCCTGGTGGCTGTTGGAGCAAGCATTGACACCGTGTCTGGCCTGCTCAGCGAGGGCATCGCGAAGGCGAATCTCCCGCTTGACGGCCTCATGGTCATGTTTCTCGCCGGGGTGGGCGAAAGCCAGAGTGGCCGCGGTGAGAGTGAGGAGCTTGGAGAAATGCATGATGAAGCTATCCGAGTGATCGAGATGATTGAGCTGCGATCGTGCTGTTGATGGCCTTCAAGTCGTGGCTGAGGGTCTTGATATTTATGCTTGACATTGTTGATGCCTCTTCTATAGCCGCGTCATCCAGTCCCATACTGGCGTGGCCGTCAGGCTACCCTGTGAGCCGTACTCAGTCCCTAGCGAAGATTTTTGATATCTCAACTGTCAGGGGATTCGTCATCACGTACCCTGGCGGCAATTGGAAACCCTAGAGGGACTCCGAGATGCCGGCTGGGCAATGGAAGCTTCTTGGCGCCGCGTACGTGGATCCGCAGCGGAGGATAGAAGCTCAGGGAACTTGACCCTGGAAGGTGGATGATCGACACACATCACGAATCATTGTTGTGCAATTAGTACACATGGAGCGTCTGACGTTATCAGATCAGGCATCCGGACAGCGTCCGCGGGTCTGGGGTATTCTTCGCGCCTTGGCTGTTGCTTCCGCCGATTCTGGATGGTGGCTCAGTGGTTTCATCTGGCAGGCTAAGGCCAGGACTGGAATTAGTCACTGTCGTTGGCACTCTATCTGTGTAGTGATTCGTAATCTCTTCGACGAAGTAGACAACAGGAGGCTGTTGTTGCGTGGAATATGGCAGGGTTTGTTTGGTTGTGATCTCGTCAGGGCTCCGCGGTGTCCGAATTTTCTCCTGCAACGGTGGAGTTATGCAAAGAATAGAAGCACGGGCCGCCGAATACACCCATACTTGTCTTTCCGAAGCAGACCTGAACCGAAGCAGTGTGTGTGCGAGGTGAGGCGCAGTGCAAAACAGAAGTAGTTGCGTATAGCTTCTTCACGTCTCGAAAGGGCAATGATTGCTGCACAACCGGTTCAAAACTGCCGCTTAGTCAGATTCTCCGTCTTCCTCAGCCACTGAAGGCTCAAAATCGGGCAGTTGTGGATGCTTTCCACTGCCATCCCTGAGCCGATGACGCACAAACCATCCACCTTTAAATCCATCGGAGCATAACTTGCTCCCGTCCCTGGCTCGGATGTGATATCTCGGTTAACGTCTAGTGGAGCTTTACCATCTAGAGAAACTGACAGGGGAATAGTATATGTTGTGACCGGGTTTAGACAATTAGGGCGCCTGCATCGCATGACACGCATGGTTAACTCCTGGACGTTCACCTTGATCACTGACAGAATTTGCGCCCGCTGGACATCAATTCCCCAATCGCCGAGAATGATCAAGGCCGCAGTGTTGATTTATTGCAAGGCCCTCTACATTCAGAGATCGGAGTAAGGGCGCAAGAACACTCCAGTCTTCTCAAATCATCCTCATGTCGGAAAAATCACCCGAACCCTGTCCTGAGCTGTAGGCAGATGGCGTTGTAGCACTCGCACATTCAACCTTCTGGAAGTCATAGCTAACAACGGATCATGGAGCGTTTAGCACGCTTGGTCGTGTCAGTCGGAAGTTGAGGGGAAGGACCAGAGAAGAAAATACTAAAATGCAGGACTGGGCGCAACCTGTCATTTTTGGACTTGGGGGTCCTTGTAACCCGTTAAGGGCGCGAACCTTATGAGATCGAGTCTGTCGCTGAACACTTGACATTTGACATATCATGAACTTCCAGATACTCACCGCTGATGGTTCAAGCTAGCTTGCTTGTGATTATATTGGGTGCTGTTGCATTAGTGGCCTTCATGTGCCAAAGTTGGGCACACTGATCGGCGCGCATCCCCCAGCCACCGCATCATTGACCTTCGCCCCGAACCCCTGCTAGTCAAAACACACCTCAACGTGCAAGGATCAAAGATACCTACTAGTATGGCTTCCTCCAAAACCGAGCTCGACTATCGCGTTACCGACGACGTCGGCTACGGCCTTGGTAGCGAAACCGCAGCCGCATTTCGACTCAATGGAATATTTCACTTTTGGAAAGAACACCTCGGCTTCAACATCCACCCGACCATCAGGGAGTCCTTGCAGACTCCAAGTCCCCGCATCGCAGATGTAGCCACAGGCACAGCGATCTGGCTCATAGACCTGGCGAAGGAGCTTCCCGATGCGACCCTCGACGGGCTCGACCTCATCCTCGACATGGCGCCCCCGGTGGAGTGGCTGCCACCCAACATCACCTTGCGGCAGTGGAACATCTTCGACGACCTGCCCGAAGAGCTGGTGGGACAATTCGATCTTGTACATCTCCGACTACTCCTACCAGTCATCCAGAATGGCGATCCCTCGTCAATCATCCAGAAGATCACCCGCATGCTAAAGCCCGGAGGATGGATCCAATGGGATGACCTGAACATCCGAGAGGCAAAGATTTTCAAAGCCAGGCCCGAACTCAAGGTTGAAGCGTTGGAATACCTCACTCGATTTTGGAATACCGGCGAACGGCAGGAATGGATTGGTCGTCTTCCGCAGAGTTTTGAACAAGAGGGGCTGAAAAGAACGAGCATTGATCGATATGAAAACTTGAAGCAATACCTTAAGGCCGACTGCGAGGGATATATTGTGACTTGCGAAGAGACTGCGCGAACACTTGCCAGGAAGGGAAAGGTGGATGAAGCGAAAGAATTCTCTCAGATCGTTCACCAAGCATCGCTGGAAGCTGCGGCTGGCGCTGCCGTGGTGGCGACTAGGGTCGTTTGTATCGGGCAAAAGCCTGTGGAGCCGTGAACTAAGCGATCATCTGAAAGATTGTGGACATGTCTATTTGATGGTTGCTGAGAATGACTGTTCGGGCAGATGAATGTGGGTACATAGCATGGCATGCAGTCGCTGTGTTTCGATACTGTTAAGGCACATCCCTTCTCTGTACCATCAATAGGTGACTTGTTGAGAGAGAGCAAGATCTGGTTGGATCTGGCAAGAGTGAGCAGCTTGCGAGAAAGTGGCAAAGGTTGCACTCGAGATGTTTATAAGCTCAATTGGAGATGTCTTTCGTAGTTCAAGACCTTGTCGAATCCTCATCAATGTCACACACCTAAGCATCAGTGCTACCCGTTCCGTGCCACGAATAGCGTCATCACTGTCAGAATGCCCTCAAGTATACTGCAGTACACTAGCTGCATGCCTGATTGGTTCCATTTGCTGTCCAGTGTGTCACGAATAACCCCGACATGATGGCCAGTAAGTTATTGTAAGCTTGTGTGATCATCCATTGGGCTCAAATAGTAGACATAGAAGAGGTGATTTTTCCGATATATCTACGGAGTACGTAAAACCGGGAATGTTCTTTCTTAAACACCATCCTTCTCCAGGATATATAATCTACCTTTCTTCATCCGAGTTCGAATACTATCAAGAACATCATGTTAAGCATCTCCACCTCGATATATAGTTGAACATCATCGAACCCACCACATCTACGAACCATTCTCACACCTCCTCAAAAGCTCCCACAAATGCGGCTGCAAGAACTGTCTCTCCAGCCCCAGCGTCTCCGCCAAATACGACCGCCAGTTATCCTCCAACCAAAGCAAATCCTTCGGTTCAACATCCCCGAGCGCCTGCACAATCATGAACCCGAGATAAGTATCCTCGTCCTCGAACGGTCTCGAGATCTTCAGCCATCGCGACCCCGGAAAAGCATGTATAATATCCCCATCAATGCAGCGGCGCTCGAGCGCTTCGTAATCATTGTCGTCGCAGTGGAAAGTACAGGTTAATAGATACCGGTCGGGACCTATACATGCCGCCATTGATTAGCATGATGCACGTAGACGTTATTAAGTTGGCATGCATACCACTATTCCCCGCCTCATTCCCTTCGCCATTCTTCAGTACGAAGAGTTGCTGGAAGATCCTTGTGTCGAATTCAGCAATCTCTAAACACGACTTGGTCGTGCCGAGCATGCTGTGTGTTTTTGGAATGCGGGCGAAGTTCTCCGGCTCCATGAAATCTAAATCGTCGCAGTCGTATGCAGCAAGCCAGCGAAACTGTTTCTGGGGGCCTAGACGTCGAAAGAATTCTCCTTTTGTGACAGAGCCGGTTTTTAGGACATCGGGGACATGGTGCTCCTGATACCATTGACTAAAATTTTCGTCTGTGACGGTGGGATCTCGGAGGCGGGACGAAGCATAGAGCCAGAGTTGAGGGGAAGACATTGTTGTGACGCTTGACGCTAAAAAACTGCGCAAGGTACTGAATCTAAATTTTTGAAATCAATTGAACGAGTCCATATTGAATGCGAAAAAGAGAACGCATAGCAGATAGATATATCCATGACATGGTCCATCGTTACCTCGCTCGGGATCACAAACAACGACCATGTTAGGAAACCACATTGACCTCTTGAGTTGATATCAGACTGTATCGTGAAATGTGCGATGCGTCATATGACGCTATTCCCAGAGTGTCCGACGCCACGTAACTGAGTGACCAAGATCTTGCTTTGCACTATCCGGACACAAGAACTCTGGCCGTGCTTGCTCAACTTTCTGGACACTAGATCCCACCAATGAGTGTATATGAATCATCAATGAACCATGGAAGCCCCGTTATTAAGCTAGGCTAGTCAGCAATGAGTAGTAGTCTCCGTTGTAGCAAGCTGGTCGAGAAGTTAATGCGACGTTCTGTCAACGCATTGCCATACTGTATACATCTTGACCGACATTCCTTCCGCCGACTGATATCACATATGTACTGTGCATCGGGAGAAATAGCGATAACAAGCAGACTTGAGTCGGAATAAATTGTACCTTAGACACGATGACAGTCTTTCGCTGGATCACTTCAAGAAAACTTTTCTGCGTGGTTCAACTGCCCCCCTGTGACTTTGCAAAGTTAGATCGGTGATCCACCCAAACTGGGTTCTGGACCTGTCATTGAAACAATCCGGCATGGATCGACATCCAACTGCAGGTAACACGCATGTCACACTCACGACAAATGGAAATCATACTGCCTACAATGATCTCCCTCTTTGCGGCAATTTCCTGCTTGAGGCTCTAGTTGAATCTAGGCCACCACTCGTGCTGAAACTATATTGATGATGCCTATTTCCAGTTTCACCTGAACTTTGCGTTTGGTCCCCGACAGAGTAGGAAGCAGGCCATTGGCGTTGTTTGGACCGGTCGCATGCTTTCTCCTTCAAGGCACTATCCTTGTCCCAAGACGAGGTTTCAGGAATTTGCTCCCTTTCGCAGATGATGCCAATATCTCAGCCGTTTGCTGTCCAGTTCAAGTTTCAGATTTTAGTATCATAATCCGTTGTTTCCTTGTTCTCATATATGCGATATCCAACCCTGGCAATTGGGTTAGTTGCATACACTATACAGGCTACAGTACGATTACTTCACGACCAGCCTGTCACGCCTAAATACCGCTCGCAAATTGGAGTAAGCCGCGACCGACCAAGTATAAGGTCTCTCCGAAATACGAGATTTAAGCTTAAGCAACAAGGCAGAAGATGTTGTATCCGTACCTGCGATGCCGTTCTCAGTGCCATGGTCCCAACGTGAACCTTGCCAGTGCTGTATCCTTGCGCACTGTCCCCTCCGGCAGTGGCTGCGGCCGGAAAAAGGGTGACCCACCGCCTTACTTCAGTAGAAATTTGTGGAAAGTCAAAGATCCAAGTGGCTTACAGGCGTGCAACTTGGCGAAAATAGTTACTTGCTTATCTTCATGGTGGCTGAAAGTAGACGACGTAGCTGACACTAGCTGGCTTCACGTCGTGTGTAACTCCTTTCCACGCACGGGCTATAACCAGGGGAGACTGGCAGATCAAATGTCGGAACATGGAATCGAAGCATAGTTGACAGTCTTGATTTCGTGTTATCCTGCGTTAGCTGCTCACTCGATCTCGGAGGCCTAACACCCTTATTGGTGCAATCTGGATGTAACAGTCCTGCTAAATGTTCACCCAATCATTGAAAATGGGATGTATAGGACCACCCAAGGCGGGTAATGATCTTCACCTGGTTGTGTAAGCCCACCTCCTTGCTCCGCGATACGAGATATTATGCGACTTGTACATCTCTGAGATAGCACGGAAATGTCAGGGCTCACTACCACGTGTATAACTGCTTTCCTACTCTGTAGCACTCGACTGTATGCTGCAAAGTGCACCCGCACGGAATCGCTTGGGCTTGAATTCTAGGCCGCAAGGAGGGTAAATGGCAGCGTATTTCCGCCCCCATTTCTCCACCCTTTCCCCGCAATCCATACATTTCGCTTGTGTCTAGCGTAGTCTCATATCCTGACAGCCGTCTGGATATCCAATTTGGCTCATTGCAGGACGCCCAATTAGGCGTACCACCTCTCAGAACACGTGGACTGATGCATGGACGTCCCAGCGGCTCTAGAGCAAGTAGGAATGTTTGTATTTGAGCCTTAAGGCTGAAGTAGGCGTCAGTGCAAGGTACTACTATACTGTTTTCCATGTGACGAGGAAGATGAGGGAGAGGCTGTCAGACCATGCCTCCCTGCCGGATTACCCCGACCGCTCGGTTTCTGTTTGACTCAGGAAGGCTTGCGGGCGACTGGCAGCGATTGGAGGAGCCAAGGACTGGGCGCGGTCATCTGCAAGCACCAGGAGCCGTGGGAAGCTTTGGTAGCTTTGGCCGGCAGCGCCACGTCGGATAGATCGGCCGCCACCTACGTGCTCTGGATCAGATGGAACACCGCCAAGGGAGCCAATGCGACACAAGCAACCAATGACCCATGAAGTCGAAAGAGTTATTTAACTCAGTACGAGTACAACTCCTGATCCTGATGTCGGGTAACCTGTGGGCGGTTGGATTGGGGCATCAGTAAAAGCTGGAGATCACGTGGTCATCCGTGGGGTCCTGAGGCCGATTCCTCGCCGCATTAGGAAATCCCGGCGTGTAACACCCTAACAATCGTAACAAGAATGTGACGATTAATTTCCCTAGCTTCAACTAACCCCCGACCGGCTCACGTTAGCTTTCCGTAGCGTGGGATTCCACTCAAATCATATCTCTTGTAAGCAACCGAAGTTGGGTTAGACAGACCCACGGCCGTCTCGTGGCCTGACCATTGCTGCATCCCGTCCATCTGGACTGGCCTACCAATCCCCGTGGGGTTTCCCCAGCCGGGGATCTGCTTTCACGCTATTCAATCGTCGATGTACACTGACCTTATCCATGGTTGACTCTGGTATCCCCCATGTCCTCATACCTATCTGGGGTCATGTCATGTCGGCGCCCGACCGCAACCACAGACGCCGGCTTCGGTGCTCCCCTCATCCCCTCCTTTGCGGAGACCGGCCTCCTTTGATGCAATCCTCGAATGACGGCATGGAAACGGCCATCCTGGTCCAAAGTGACCAATCCAATCCAGTCCCTTTGAGTCCACATCGACTAGGATGTAACGGAGCCTTATGGTCAAGGTATTTCCAATTCAACCAGATGCCGCCTGGTTGGCTGGCACACGCGTAGCGGTCGGTCGATGCCGCATCAAAGAACTCAACGATTAGTCGAACTCTGTGCCCATGCGCCGTTTTGGCCAAGTCGATGTCTCGTCGTCATTCGGCAAATGCACTGACGGGATCCACCCCCGAGGACAAGGCTCTCGCGTGAGATTTGATAAATGGCCGGGGCCTCTCCCACCACCCCGGAGGGCTTTGATTAACCCTGAAACGTGAAAAGGTGATTGTCAAGCCGCAGAACCCCCAAGTCTTGCGACTGAAGTATGTTCTTGTTGGCCTCCAAGCCACAGTCGCGTAGAAAATTCAAGGTATCGGCCTTCCGGTTCCTCTCCATTACTTGAACCACCTTCCCCTCTGAATTGTGATTTGATACCTCATCCGCAAGAATCTAAGCGCTTCTACTGTGTGTGCATCCTGTGTCTATTTGACCTCTCATAATGGACGGAGAAGGGGTCACGGCGAAGGCCGTTCACAAGGACGAAAACCCTGCCAGCGTTGAGCACGCTGAAAAGCCACAGCAGCGACACGATGTCTTTGATATTGAAGGACGCTCGGGCGGTCTTAACGCCGTATTCGAAAACCCCTTGGCAGGCGTGCCGCGAGAGCAACTCCTCGACGACGTGGAACGCTTTTGTCGCCAGTACGGTCTCGAAGCCCACTTGGACGAATTCCGCAAGGGCGCCTTGATCTCGCAGAATCCGCAGGGCGCATTGGACCTCCCTGACCTGACCGAGGCGGACAAGGAGACCCTAAGGCGAGAACAGACGCATAAATGGTCGCAACCTTGGCAGCTTTACTTCATGGCATGTAGGTGCTTTACCAGTACTACCTGTCATGACCTTTCTCATTCCAATGCTGACGATGCTTCTATAAAGCCATGTGCTCTCTTGCAGCCGCTGTACAAGGTATGGACGAGACTGTCAACAATGGCGCCCAGGCAATCTATCTCGATGTAAGTGCTCTCTCGTCTTTATCCTCAAGTGGCCCACACTAACAACCAGCAGGAACTTGGGATCACTGCACCCCGATTTTCAGAGCAAATGCAAGATTACCTTACCGGGCTTGTCGTTGGCGCTCCCTATCTAGCGTGTGCGATTCTCGGTTGTTGGCTCACCGAGCCTATGAACAGATACCTGGCGCGACGTGGGACAATTTTCTGGTCTTGCTTCATTGCAGCAGTGGCTTCCATCTGGGAAGGCGTGGCTAATTCCTGGGTCAACCTCTTCATTGCACGGTTTGTCCTTGGCCTTGGTATTGGTTCCAAATCATCGACCGTGCCCGTGTATGCGGCTGAATGTTCCCCGGCCCCCATCCGAGGTGCCCTTGTTATGATGTGGCAGATGTGGACAGCATTCGGCATTATGCTTGGTAATATCATGGGCGTTGCTTTCATGGGCGTATCGAGGGATCTCTCGTGGCGTCTTATGCTCGGATCAACCGTGGTCCTGCCCCTTGTTGTCTGCGCGCAAGTCTATTTCTGCCCGGAGTCCCCTCGGTGGCTTATTCAACACAACCGAATTCACCAGGCTTTCAAGTCTTTCCGCACGCTCCGCCCCACTGATCTGCAGGCGGCCCGAGACTTGTACTACGCGTACGTCCAGGTGGAGCTGGAACGGAAAGTCAACACCGGGAAGAACTTCTTCTCCATGTTCCTCGAGCTCTTTACGATCCCACGCAATCGTCGCGCCACGCTTGCTAGCTGGATTGTCATGTTTCTGCAACAATTCTGTGGAGTGAATGTGATAGCTTATTATTCCACAACCATTTTCGTTGATTCCGGATATAGTATCCAGCAAGCCCTATTGGCCAGCATGGGAACAGGGATCTTGAATTGGGTTTTTGCCCTCCCCGCATTCTTCACTATTGACACGTGGGGCCGCCGGAACCTGCTGCTCTTCACTTTTCCATTCCTAGCCATCTGGCTTCTCTGGACTGGGTTCTCGTTCTGGATTGACCCGGAGGACTCAACCAGTAAGAAGCGGGTGGCCATGGTCACAACGGGCATGTATCTGTTCGAGGTTTTCTATTCCCCGGGTGAAGGACCTGTGCCATTTACCTATTCTGCCGAAGCATTCCCACTGCAGGTGCGTGAGGTTGGCATGTCATGGGCCACTGCGACAACATGGTGTTTCAACTTTATTCTGTCGTTCACCTGGCCTATGCTCCTAAGAGCATTCAAGCCTCAGGGTGCATTCGGATGGTATGCCGCGTGGTGTGTGATTGGATGGTTCCTGGTCCTTCTGTTTGTACCAGAGACTAAGGGTAAGTGCGCATTTTTCCATGGTTAATGGCCAGAGCTAACATTAGATAGAACTCACACTCGAGGAACTTGATCAAGTCTTTTCGGTCTCGACGCGCAAGCACGCATCCTACCAATTGAAGAATGCATGGTGGCATTTCCGCGTTTGGGTGCTTCGGCAGAAGTTGGAACCACTGCCCAAATTCTATGAGCATGCGGAGAACCTGGCGGAAGGGCACGCGGAGGGCCACCCACAGGAGTACAATGAGAAATGATCGGTCCTGGGTTATAGTATAGCTGTTGGTAGACGTGTAGTATTTGCCTAGGGGCTCTTTGACGATGATGAAGTCTAATGGTTGTGGTAATATGTCAGTTGATGGATGCGAGTGATTAGTTGTTTGATACCTGAGCTTAATACTCGAGAATAAATACTGTTTTTGAGTACTTGACAAGTATGGAACTCTATGAACAACTTGTACATGGACCTGTTTATGCTTGAGAGAGGTGTCTGATTGAAGTGGGTATCGTGTGGTTGTGCCTTGATGATCTCAGTCCAAGGAAGGAGCGACCAGAACAAACAAATCAGGTGACCCCATCTGCATGGTTCAGTGGTTAATTTAATGACTTTCCTCCTGTTTGGCACGTATCAGTGGATCCAGCGATGTAGACTATTATTCACTTTCAGATCTGATAAGCTATATAAAGTTACTAGTCATCATGCAGGGTCGTACTTGGCCCCACCGGACCTGAGACATATTATTCAGTGAATGTCCAGGGTGGCCCTGCAATTTTGTCCAAGGAAAAGCAAAGAAGATACTCGTTCTGAAATCCCATCACACACGACTTTGTCTCATGATAATACGCGCCGCGGTAACTGCCAAGGCTGTAATACCCAAAGCAATTGCTAGGAAGCTCCCGCTCTTCTAAAATTGAGGTTCCTATATTACGTGATTAGAAATGGTATGAAACATAGAATTCCGTTACCACTCACTTTATATTCCTGTATAGAGTCTTCTGTCTCACTGGTCTGTTCTACTTCGTAGGAGACAACGGTCTCGTCTCCGAGTTCTGCATAGTATTGCTGCAGTTGTTTTACCTTCGCCTTGACGAAGTCCTCACGGGCCTTATGCATCTCCGGGGTGGTGGTAGCGTTGTATACCCTCTCCGCAATTGACTTACGCGGGCCCCAGCAGTATTCATCTAATAAGTCCCAGTATATCATATCAACTGACGGTACCATGCGACATGCCATATTGAACCACGCGCTTCTGTCCTGTATTGACCGGCGCATTCGTGCTGACAGATTATGATCAGAAGGGTCAATTCCCAACTCTGTCTCCCTCGCTTCCATGCACAGCAAGAAGAGGTCTGCTTTCGGTCAAAAATTCTCGAAGAACGCCTTTGCGCCAGAGTTGTAGATGATCCGATGTGGTCGCTCCAGAAGTAGCCACCACGGGATACTGCCGGCAAATTGGGCCGGAGCCGCATAACAGAATCCCCAATCAATAATGCCGGTGATCTGAAGGGAGTCATTCACCAGAACGTTGCCAGGGCATAGACCATCGCAGAATAATTTGAAGGGTCCATAGTTATCTTCAGGGGACAGAAAGTTCAATGCTGACGCCTTCATCAACTGACGACAAGCATATTTCTCGCGGCAGTCCGTAGAATCGTAGATACTGTTTCTTTGTTGTTTCAAATGCTTTGACTGCAACTGGAGAAGCGAGACGATGTAGTCTGTGGAGCTGTTATAGGTTCTCGGCGGGTCAAGATCAGTCAGCCCGCATGTCCGGACCAGCTCGTTCATAGCGAGGGTTAGGGGCCGTTTAGTCACTTGTGCCTTGCCAGTCACTTCGTGGTTACCCAGGCTACCAATGCAATCAAAGTCGAGTTTCCACAGTTCCAGCAAGACCTGTGCCATTTGCCCGTACAGCGCCTTGAGCATCTCCTCGTCGATATCTGGGTTGAGGGTTTCCTTCTTGTCGGAAGAATCACTTGTCCGGAGTACTTCCGACATCTTCCTCCCTTCGACCCAGGTCATGATAATGAAGGGGCCCAGACCTGTAGGATTCTCGTCTGCCGTCCCGGAGGCAATCACTCGGGGAACGGGAACGGTTGTGTTGTCTGCGATATATGTCATAAGTATGGCTTCTCCGCGAACTTTCTCTTCCGGGAACATGGATTTCCCTGGAAGCGGAAACCGAATCAGCCAGTCATCGCCATCATCCTCCCAATGTAGACGCAAACTAAAGTTGAACAATCCGCTGTGCATTGACCGAAGCAAGCAATCATCTCGGTTGCGATACCGGTTGGCCAGTTCGCAAATGCCGCTGGCGGATCTTGAACAGCGTTCCACCCATTCTTTCCTCAATCTATCAAATTGTACAAGCGCTATATCATCAAAATCCATGAATGGGAAAGGTTCGGGGTCTTATGTGCTTCATGAATCTTACAATGGTCGAGCAATGAATGAACGACCCTGCGAGGGATAGATCCAGACACCGCTTTGTTGACCTTGCTGGATGTAATGCGGTTGGTTCCTAGATCGGGTGCCGGGCTAACCTATTGCGGCTAGTCTCCGCATTGCCCAACAGATGTTAAGTGTTGTAGTTGACCAAGAATAAGCCTGAGATGGAGCATGACAATCGTATTCTGAATATGTATTAAGTGCTACTCTATCGCTTTATCCTTCGCACTGAGATGAGTTCTATCTATAACGGTCTATCAAATACAAACATATCAATCCTCTAGGCAAAGCCAGGCTTGGTCATCTTGTGAACGTAGTCCTCCAGGAGCCTGTCCTCCTGCTCAACAATCGGCTCCACAACAGTCATGCCCCGATCAATCTCGGCCTTCAAACGCTCCCACTCATCCGAGGTACCATTGGCAGCAGCGGTCTCCTTACGCTGAACGGCATCCCCGTTGGCATGGCCATTCTCAGCGCCCGTCGCATGACCATTAGCAGCCGTGGGGAAGAGGAACGGAGTGTAACCCGCAGCCTCGAAAGCATCCTTGGGAGGAACGGTGTAGCGGCCCTTCTTCAGAACATACTTGCTGATGGACACAGCGTAGAGTCTCTTCTTCAGCGCCTCGGGGTCATCCTGGCCCTTCTTTCCCTTGCCCGGCTTCAAGAAGTAGGTGACGATGTAGATCCACTTCTGGTCGAAACTGGCCACATGCGACTTGACCTCGTACTTGGCGTATGCGGGAATCTCTCTCTTGAAGGTGGTGTAGACGCTGCCCAGAATGAAACCCAAGAAACCCTTCTTTCCTTGTTCCTGCAGACGCTTTTCCAGGAGCGCAGCTCCCTTCACGACGATACTGGACATGAGAGCGGTACGGGAGACATCAAGGTCGGAGAAGTAGGTCGAGTTGGATTTGTGCATGTTGAAGTCGAGTTCCATGATGGGAGCGCGAGAGTAGATGCTGACGGGCTCGAGAACCTCGGTGCAGGGACGGGCGGGCTGTTCGACGGCAGGGGTGATGAGGTAGCCATGCTTGAAGAAGTAGCGGTACACGCGAACCTGGGGCTGTCAGCAAATTGACATTCAAATAATAAAGGTAAGCGAAGGGGCCGAATGCGACGTACATGCCAAATCATGGGGAGAGTCTTCAGGTTGAGCAAAGCGAAGAAGATGGCAGCAGCTTTCCAGAAAGTGACGGACTCCCAAAGGGAGCTCGCCAACGAGCGAATGGCCTCCATGTGGAGATTTTGAGAGCAAAAAGAATTAAGATAAGAGAAGGAATATGTACAGAAAAAAGAAAAACGACAGAGTCTATGATGGTCTATGCATGAAGAATCGCCTACAACAAAAGGGCGGGATTCCAGAAGGCTTAAAGAAAGGCAGGGCGGCAGCGGAAAAACTTGCCGTGGGGCGGCTGGACCGATTAGTGATAAGCTCCGATAAGCTGCTGCCGAGGTTTGCCCCAAAAGGGGTGCGCTTCCGTGCAAACTTTGATGCGATTTCCACTGTCCCTGCTATATGCTTTGGCTGTGCACAGTGTGGGCTCCACTGTCTGTCCCGATCAGGAAGTAGTTGTTCGATGACAAAGTCCGTGTTGCCTTATGGTGAGCCTACACAAATAGGTGCCAGCATGTAAAGCTCATAAGTCTTCTCAAAACTTGCCGTGTGGCAAGCAGGCTCTCCGACTGCCCCTTTTTCTTTCATACGTTCATCACTTGTTTTGACAAAAGGACCGGGGAGAGCTTGTATCCCTCAGTTCCTCAACAGAATGTTGTTGGTGTCTGCTTCTCCACTCCACTGAGTAATGTGGAATCCGATCTGGTCTCCACCAAGTGCGGCTGGTAGCTCAGCTCTCTTCTACACGCCACCATGATTGCACAATGGTAACATGGCACACCGAAGAAGGACAGCTATATGTGTAGAAAAGGTGGTCACAGCTGCACCTGGTCTGTGCAGATAGCTCTGGAACGCAGAGGAGGTCGGAGATCTTCTGCCCGACATAAGCGGGGAAGCTGAAGACAAGCCAATTCATCTGAACCTGCATCTTCAGGTTCCGTCCAGTGTGAAGCGCACATGCTGAATCATGTACACTATGTATAATGATAAAAATCGGTATCCTGTCCTTCAGAGAATTTAAAAAAGGGGTATATTACCAAATCCCATTGCTTACCCCGCAATCCCGCCGGGGAAATTCCCAGTCTCTCCTCTCCTGGCGTGATGAATATGATCGGGGTAGAATTGGTCCGATTGAGAAATTAATAGTATTATTCCACCAATCCACCTGCATAGGGACAGCCCCCATGGCAGTTCGAATAATTGAACCTGCATATGCGTGCCATTTCTGCATGAACTTTTCACGCCACTTATCTCCATGTCCCGTTTGCCGTTTTCTCGCGTGGATAATAGCGAGAACCGGTGCCAACCCCACGATTCTTTAACCGGCTCGGCAGGGCAAGCGCCGATGATATATAAGTCGAGGTTATGGCATAGATGCTAAGAAATATTGCGCGTGGGCGATATTACCATGAAACTGCAGTTCATACTCTCGTGCTGGGCCATCTTGGTCGCCCAAATTCGGGCGACTACAGATGGTCTGACAGATTTGGTCGCCTGGGATCCTTATAGTCTGACCGTCAATGGCAATCGCTTGTTTGTCTATTCCGGAGAGTTCCATTATCCTCGATTGCCCGTTCCGGAAATGTGGCTTGATGTCTTTCAGAAGATGCGCGCACATGGTTTCAACACTGTTAGGTTTGTGCAATGTGAATGTCCAAGAGTTTTTCCAGGCCCGTGACTTCTGACGGCTGTCACATAGTCTATACTTCTTCTGGGACTATCACTCTCCAATCAATGGGACCTATGACTTTGAGACCGGGGCACACAATATCCAGCGCTTATTCGACTACGCCCAAGAGGCCGGCATCTACATCATCGCACGGTTAGACATAGTTGCTCACCGTTTTTTCGGGAATCGCTGACATCAAACCAGTGCGGGGCCCTACTGCAATGCTGAATTCAACGGAGGTGGTCTAGCTCTATACCTGAGCGACGGGAGCGGTGGTGAATTGCGAACGAGTGATGCGACATATCACCAGGCATGGACTCCCTGGATTGAGCGTATTGGTAAGATCATTGCGGACAACTCTATCACAAACGGTGGGCCAGTCATCCTCAACCAGATCGAGAATGAACTTCAGGAGACCACGCATTCTGCGACCAATACCTTGGTCGAGTATATGGAGCAGATTGAGGAGGCATTTCGAGCTGCTGGCGTGGACGTTCCCTTCACTAGCAACGAGAAAGGCCAGCGATCTCGAAGTTGGTCAACAGACTATGAGGATGTGGGTGGTGCGGTCAACGTCTATGGCTTAGACTCGTATCCGGGAGGGCTCAGTTGCACCAACCCTTCCACAGGATTTTCAGTCGTACGGAACTATTATCAATGGTTCCAAAACACCAGCTACACGCAGCCCGAATACTTGCCTGAGTTCGAAGGTGGTTGGTTCTCTGCCTGGGGCGCCGACTCTTTCTACGATCAGTGCACGAGTGAGCTGAGTCCACAATTTGCGGATGTGTACTACAAGAACAATATTGGTCAGCGGGTCACCCTCCAGAACCTGTACATGCTGTACGGGGGTACGAACTGGGGCCATCTAGCTGCACCTGTGGTGTATACTTCATGTAAGTACTCCCGTTAGGTGCCGCAGGCAAAGCCATACTTACTGGCTGTAGACGACTACAGCGCTCCTCTTAGAGAGACTAGACAAATCAGAGACAAGCTCAGTCAGACGAAGCTCGTTGGTCTGTTCACTCGAGTGTCTTCTGGCTTGCTGGGAGTCGAAATGGAAGGGAATGGTACCACTTACACATCGACCACCTCAGCATACACATGGGTGCTTCGGAACCCCAACACGACCGCCGGTTTCTATGTCGTGCAGCAGGCTACCACATCCTCGCAGACAGACATCACGTTCTCACTGGATGTGAAAACTTCTGCGGGCGCGTTCACCTTACCCAATATCAATCTGCTAGGCAGGCAAAGCAAGGTAATCGCGACTGATTACCCACTCGGTCACAACACGCTCTTGTATGTGTCAACTGACATCGCGACATACGGCACTTTTGGAGACACGGATGTTGTTGTGCTTTATGCACGCTCTGGACAGGAGGTGTCGTTTGCCTTTAAGAACACGACTAATCTGACCTTCGAGGAATATGGTGACTCGGTGAACCTGACTAGCAGTTCAGGTAATCGCACCATTACCTCATACACCTATACACAAGGCAGTGGTAGCAGCGTCGTGAAGTTCTCAAATGGCGCCATTTTCTATCTCCTGGAGACGGAGACGGCATTCCGATTCTGGGCACCTCCCACCACAACAGATCCTTATGTGACAGCGGAACAGCAGATATTTGTGCTGGGCCCATACCTAGTCCGTAATGTGAGTGTCTCTGGAAGCGTTGTGGATTTGGTTGGAGACAACGACAACGCCACGACTGTGGAAGTATTCGCTGGGTCTTCCGCAAAGTCTGTCAAATGGAACGGTAAGGAGATCACCGTCAAGAAAACAGACTATGGGAGTCTTGTGGGATCGATTGGTGGCGCCGATAGCAGCACCATTACGCTCCCCAGTTTGACCGGATGGAAAGTTCGCGACTCCTTGCCCGAGACCCAGTCTTCCTATGATGACTCCAAGTGGACGGTGTGCAACAAGACTACAACCCTGAGTCCAGTTGATCCACTCAGTCTGCCTGTTTTGTTTGCCTCCGACTATGGCTATTATACCGGCATCAAGATCTATCGCGGTCGGTTCGATGGTGCTAACGTGACTGGAGCGAACTTGACTGCGCAAGGAGGTCTGGCTTTCGGTTGGAATGTCTGGTTGAACGGGGATCTTGTGGCCTCGCTTCCAGGTGATGCCGACGAAACGTCGTCTAACGCAAT